TCGCCACCCAATGGGGGAGAGGAGCGCCGGCGCGTCATCAGTGTCCAAGCAGAAGGACCTGACACATGTAAGGAGCAGAAGTGAAACTGGGACATGGGGAGTCTCCACCCTGGGCTTCCCCAGCCCAGAACCCTGTGTGCGGGACAGAGCGCTGTGTGTCATGGTGTCTCCACGTTCTCCCCCAGAAGCTGTCTGGACACCAGGACAGAAGCACAGGCCAAAGTCATCACCATCCCCTCCACCCTTCCTCTGCCTCTTCTCTTCAGAAGTCGCACCCTGGAGTCTTCTAGGAGAAAAGCCTCTTCCGGGCATACAGTGGCAACAACAAGCAGTTGGGGACACAGGGAGAGAAGCTATCCTTAAGCAGAGGCGCTGGCCTGCGAGCCCCTCACAGACCCCACAGTGACCAGGCTCTGTCCACCTGCAGACCAAGAAGCTCCGGAATCTGCTAAAAATGACGGAGACTCAGCAGCTACCCGGACAATCTCCCGGGTTCCTCTGTGGTAATCTTGATGTCCTTGGGAGCAGAGGGGCCAGGGCAGTGTCAGTCTTCGCTGCCAGGCTCAGAGGGTCCAACAGACTTTCCTGTCGACTAGGACTTGGGGGACCGGCCTGCTCTGTCTCAGCAAACAGGATGGTCAATTCCCCAGTGTCCTGCTTGTCCACAGTTTGGACAGGGTCCTGGCGACGGGCAAGGGTAAGGGAAAGGTTTTGAGGACCGTTATCTGGTAAGAGTATTCAAACTAAACAAGCTTTGCTTGTTTCTAGTTACTTGTTTTAGACTTCACTTTGAGAACATATACAGGAGGCTAAATAAAGCTTATTGCTGTAATTAATTACATCAGGACTTAGCGTGACAGCAAGGAGAGCTCTGCACACATTAAAGCATTTGATCATGAATACAGTGACTATTAACCAGCATGTCTTAATTGTCTTCAACAGTTTACAATAAGTCAGTAACTTTCATAAAATTAGGGTTTTATATAGTTAAATTGAGCCTTAAAAATAAGAGTTAAAGACCCTTTAGCAACAAAAGAAACATCAAGGCAGTAAACTTTAGTCCCTAGGAAACTGGTACTTGAGCTGGGTGTGGTGGCACACACCTGTAGGCCCAGCGCTCTGGGAGGCAGAGGAGCCAGATCACTGGGAGTTTGAAACCAGCCTGGTCTAGGCAGTGAGTCCAGGACAGCCAAGGCTACACAGAGGAACCCTGTCTCAAAAGAAAAAAAAGTTAAAAAGACTGGTATCTTTTACAGTGTGCCATTATAGAATATCATAGTTTTTTTATGACTCAGTTTATCCAAATAACTAAAGCTTAAGAAGCTGAGCAAAGACAAAGAAGCTAGACAGATATTACTGTCCTGGGGCACAGCTGTCAGCTCTCAGGTGAAGAATAAGGGACCCCAAGATCAAGGTTCTGTTTCTGTCAGGAGAAACTGGAGTGCTTGAGGGAGAGGACTGTGGGCTGGGCAAGGCTCCTGGTCTCACTGGGGGAGGAGGAAGTGGGTTTCCCATCACGTGTTAAGCTCAGCTCTGTTAAAGGAGATTGTCCGATACTGAAATGTTACAGCTCTTTGACTAAGTTGCTGTATTAAGCTGTATTAACAGCAGGAATGTGGGGGAAAGGTCATATCTGCTCAGCTTGCAGCTGAAACCTAGGCCTGGCAGACTCAGGCCCTGAGGCCCAGAAGACAGGTCCAGGTGTGGGTGTTTCACCTGAGGTCAACACCGAGCTCAGGAGCTCAGGTGGGTCAGGCAGGCTTGACCGAGGCAGCTGGGAGGCCTGGAGTCCAGCAGCAAATCTCCAGGGAGGAGGGAGGCCTCTTTTCCCCAGAGTTAATGACAAATCTCAGGCGGCCATCATGGAAAGCTGATGGTGTCACGAAGCACCTTTATTTCCTGTGAAATCAGGGATGTATAAACCTTGGGCAATGGGAGGGGTTTGGAGGGTGAATGCTTTTGATTCCCTGGGCTGGAGGTGCTAGGGATACTTGATTTACATGTACTGGTTCAGCATCTCATTTACACGCAGTAGCATGGTCCTGTCACAAGCAGGAGAACACAGGACTTAGTTATCCTTTAGCTGGAAAACTCTCCAGGTAAGTTGAAGGTCATTTGCGTAAAGCTAAGATCTCCTTAGCACAGGGTGGGTATTTCCAGGAATCCCCAGGTGCTTGCTGAGTTGGTTTCTTCTCAGAAAAGGAAAGGGCCTGTAATCTCCCCTGAGGGCTATGTGACCCTGCTTAGAAGTTTTAGGGTTCAGGTAGAGAGGGCACCCCACAGAGAAAGGGAGTCACTGAGAAAGGCATAGACTGAGCTCAGAGGCCATCTGGAAATGTCAGACTTTGACCTTGTCTAGAGTCCCACATTTTACTGGCATAGACCTTAGAAATTTATAAATCTTATTCATCAAACAAACCTGGGCTGGAAAGACAGCCCAGCAGTTAAGAGCAGTGGCTGCTCTTCCAGAGGACCCGGGTTCAATTCCCAGTACCCACATGGCAGCTCACAACTGTCTGTAACCATATTTCCAGGGGATCTGACAGCCTCACATGACATGAATGTAGACATAGCACCAATGCTCATTAAATGGAATTTTAGAAAAAATAAATTCTTTATTAATAAACATCTGTTGTTACTTATCTTCATTGATCACCTTGGTCTTGAACAGGTATAAGTAGTGAGATACACATCTTAAATCAGCTTTTGCTAATCCAGGTAGAGCTTTATAACCTCGAACTTTATCATCATAGACAATAATTCTAAACCTGAGGCAAATCACATATATACTATGTTGTAGCAAATATAACCTTTATTTTCATCATCATAAAGAATTCACACCAATCCAACATATTTGAGACTTGTTGCTGCTTCCTTAGACTAAAAAGAGCCACAATGAGAAACAGAGCTCATTAGGACCAAGAAGTTCCACCACTGCAGCTTCATATCGTGTGGTCATCGAAGATGGTGAGGTCACACGGCATGTGCCCTTCAACCTTAGTAAAGATGGCTGCCAGCCATGTGGCTGCTTACATCCTGATGAGGTCGCCAGCCAAGATGGAGGAGGGCCACATGGTTGACATTTTAAAACACCCGTTTTTGTAGTGGATCTATGTATGTATATATGTATTTTTAAATGAAAGCTGAATCCAGTTCGCATACACATATACACACAGAGCTGAATCACATATAGCTGCTGTAAAGAAGGATTACCTGGGTATAGATTTTAATTATAACCCTTTAGTTATAAGTTGAAAGCCATTTTTCTGTTATGGGTTTTATTGATTTTACTAAACCCAGTGAGCTTACAGATCCTGAGATAGTGACAGCATAGGCTTTTGTTTTGTTTTGTTTTTCAAGACAGGGTTCTCCTGTGTAGCCTTGGCTGGCCTGGACTTGCTTTGTAGACCAGGCTTGCCTCGAACTTATAGAGATCCACTTGCCTCTGCCTCCCTGAGTGCTGGCATGCACATGGCACCTGGCTTACAGCATAGATTCAAGAGATTTTCTGGAGAGCAGAGCACAGAGAAATTAAATGAGGTGAAATATTTTTAGGAGGCCACGTGCAGCTTGCTTGCAGCTCAGTTGCTCCCAATAACATGGCTCAGATTCTTGCAAGTGACCAGGGCTCTGAGCAGGCCCCCGGGTCACAGTGAGCACAGCCCAGCTCGGGACTGCATGGCAGAGCAGAACTTGCACGGTTTCGGGTCACCGGTGGTCCCGGAGTAAAGCACCGTCAGTGAACCCGCACCTGAGATGCAATGCTTGTGGATTATGCAGTTGCTGCCTGCAGCTGCCTGCTGTCCTTGTAAACCTTCGCCAGATTTGGACCAGGCTTCAGCCAGAAGGGGGTTCTGTGCACCTGTCAGGGTGCAGATCTGTCCAGCCTTCCCGTGTGTAATGAAAGTGTGTAAATGAAAAGAGTAAAAGCCGTCAGCATTGCTGGCTCTTGTTTCCAGGATGCATGCAGTCTCTCAGATGCCTCATAACCTGCCGCCCGATACCAAAATATATATAAATACATGTATATATATTTCTAAAGTTACAGGCATTGGTGTTTTGCCTGCTCGTATGTATGTCTGTGTGAGGATGTTGGAGTCTCCGGAACTGGAGTTGCTCCAATTCCCGGGAGGGAACTGCTGGAGTTCCTTGGGGGCCCTGAGGTCTCTACTCCTTTTGTGACCTGTGGAGAGCGCAGCTGGAGCCCCACTCCTTTTGGAACTGCCAAGTCCCAGTCTTTGGATATTCTGGTTACTCCGACAGGGTCAGTGTTGAGTAACGAGATTTGTGTTTTTTATGTGTTGTTTCTTGTATGTTTGTTTCCCTGTGGACTTGGACTGACGAAGTTTTTGGACTCGGGACTGTTTGAATCAGCACCTCTGAGATTGGTCCTGGACCATTGGAGCAAAATTGGAACTAGGGCTCACGCTGTATCTGCTAGAATCAAGAAAGGAAGGGAAAGAGATGGAGCTGCTGGGGAGAGGGACGGCCTGCGGAGTACTAGGCGAGCTGTAGCAGTGCAGAAAACCCCCCAGACTGGCGAGCCTCGGTGCATCGCCCCCTCCCCGCACGCTCCTCCCAGCGCAGCCGCCAGAGCCCCCCCCCCCTCCCAGGATCCTCCCAGCGCAACTGCCGGAAACCTACCTCCACCTCCCTCCTCTCCTCCCGCGGCGGGAGACAGCGCGGGGATGGAGCTGCCGGGGAAGGAGCAGCCGCGGGGACACGGGAGAGCGGGCAGCTGTGTGGCCATCAGCCTGCACCTCTCCTCCGCCGGCTGCGGGTTAGCCCGCCCGTTGAGCACCCGCCTCCTCCTGCAAGCTCACCTTCCATGCCGGGTCCTTCTGCAGGCCACAAACAAGGGCATCTAGGGGCCCCATTCGCCACCGTGTAATTCCCTGGTGACCTCGCCCGGTCATTCACGGCGGAGCTCTGAAACCCTGGACTGCTCTTGGCTACGATGCTTAAAATTACAGCTGAATCCAGTAAAAAGAGGTCCCAGGGGAAGGCAGGGGAGGGACGAGGTTCCGGCGGCAGAGACACGCTTAGGGTGCGGACCCACGGCGCCCCGCTCCTCCCCAGGGTCCCCTTCACCCCCGACCCCGCACTCACCTGCCTGGGTCTGGGTCGTGACATGGCGCTGGCCAGCATCTGGAGCCAGAGGGCAGAAGGAGGCAGCGTCCTCACACCTGAGTGTGGTCCGGACTCCCGTGACTTTGGCAATCCCCAAACAGCCCGGGCTGTTCGCTCTGCACACACTGACGGCCATGGCTGAAGACAGCACCCACACATCCTCCACACGGAGAGGGCTGGCTGGCGCCTACATAGAGCCCTGACCCCAACATTCTAGTGTCCCTGTGGGAAGGTACTCTGCCAGCTACCAAAACAGCAGGAAACACCCACCCAGCCACAACACCTACAATCTGTCCTGCCTGAAAAACACGCCAGCGCCAAGTGACAGGAAGCCGTGGGAGGAGCCAGTCCATGTCTGACTGAAGGCCCACTCCAGGGGGTGGCACCCATGCCCAGCACTCCATGATGACCAAGAATCGGAGACCAGTTAGTCCAGAGACCTAAGGTAAAGCTTACACACCGGTCAAAATAACTGAAAAAATGGTCCCTAACACTATTCCGATAACTTAGTTCCTTGTTGTGACATCATCAGAGAAGCTTCCTCCTGCAGAGAACACTGACCGACAGACAGGAGAGAGAAGGAGGAATTACAGCACACAGCTCCAGATAAAATGTCTCCATCAAACCCTTCCCCCAGCTCTGGGAACCACACAGAAGAGGCGGCAGACAGGGTCGGAGGACAGCAGGAGAACCAGTCTCTCCACATCATCGAGCAAGCAGAGGGTGCGGGGCGGGGCACGGGGTGTGCACAGTCCTGGGCTTACAGCTGC